AGTATTAGTAACAATATTAGTATTAGTATTAGTATTAATATTAGTATTAGTATTAGTATTAGTATTAGTATTAGTATTAGTATTAGTATCAACATTAGTATTACAAGTTGCATGGACAATTATATATCGTAATGCAGAGAATAGAGTATGGGTAGCATAAAGAAATTTATCAAGTTGGAATCAGGCGAATAATGTTATTAACAATTTTGTCTACAAGGAGGGTATATAAGTGATTATGAAGGTATAGCACAAAATTTTGTGATTTTATAACAAAAAATTTCATCTCTAATGTACATTAGTGCCGCTCCAATGAATTTTTTTAATCTAGGTAATTTTATATAAATTGTATTTATTTTACATTTTTAGGTGATTTGTTATTCAGTAATGTGTACGACTGAGAGAATATGAACAATGCAAAATGTGTAGGTTACTCACAAGGTATTAGATGAGTTGTAAACGATTTCAATGCATGTATAAAATTTCACTTTGATAACTAAATTTCATGTTAAGGATTCGAGTGCATTGGGCGAGATAGTTTTACGATTTGGGTCAGATGAGGTATTGTATATTTTATATCACTGGTATTTATTTTATATTTTATTTTATTATTATTTTTGTTTAAGTTTTGTATTTAAATCAGATGGAATGGATATTTTTTTTTGTTTTGGACTATATCATATTATATATCAATTAATTAAAATTTTTACTATATTATTTTATTTAAATGTATTTTCATTGTTCGTGACCGTAGCTTCGTGTTATATTGTACCAACATTCAGATTAATGTACAAGAGTGGTCCATTCATTCGATTCCCCACTTGGAGTTGGTTGTGGCATTTCGGCGTGTATGGTTTGTACAAGATTGCCATTTTATATTTATGTAGACTTTTTGGTGATGATATAAAATACGAAATTGTTATTTTTTGTTCGGTCGTATTCGACTTAAATCCTCGACCTTTTTTTAGTTCGGTGATTTTTTAGAATAATTTCTTTTGATCTAAAATTTGATCCCGTGCATCGCACGGGTGAGATACTAGTTATTATGGTATGCTGAAAATTATAGTGACTTGATAAGTTGATATGCTTAATTACATAAGGTTAAAAATTTCAAAATAAATACATCACGTCAATTTAAATTTAAAGTTTGACTGCAAAATAATTATGGATTTCAGTAGTTGTGTTTCCATTTTTTTTTTTACGAACATGCACTATATATGTGTTTTATGACTTTTATCTATGAACCCAAAGCTCTTTCAGCATAGGTAGGATTCGATATTTATTCCCACATTACCAATTTCATATCAAATTCAATTTGAATTAAATTCGATAATTGCTTGGTATTATGAAGCTTTATGGTTGATAATTCATATATAGGTTATGTGTATAAGAAAACTTCTCAACCAGTTAATAAAAGGTGAATTTTATTAGATTGAATGCTTATTTAAAATGAAATTTTTAATATATTATTGCTAATTGAATAATAAAAATAGAAAATTTTGTGGAAAAATACAATTAAAACCTTAAAATATCCTCAAAATATATTATTTTTTGCACTTTACACTCGAAAGAACTTAGCAGAATTTTTTGCACCCTTGAAATATCATATATTATTCATAATTCACAGAAATTAATTTTTAAAGACAACTTTATCTGGGTGAGAAAATATCAAATCAAAAATATTATTTTCCTCCACCGTTCTAATAACCTAATTCGAGAGCATAAAGTGCAAACATAAAAACTATCTAACTAAATTATATTTAATCACACGTACGAAAGAATCATAAAATTTTCTCACCAAACTGCTCCATGGTATAATTGCTAAAACTATTGTGATAATTAGTGAGAACCAAACATCATTTACATATAGTAGAGTGGATACAATCTCTTTTTAATATAAGTCAAACCTCTTCTTAATTATTAAATTATATTTTTTTAAACTGCTATACATAATTCATAATTTGCCCTTAATGCTACATTATTTTACATATGTCTTCATTTTCTTACGTCATTCATCCGCCTCTCACCTTCTCTTCTCTCATTTTTGTCATTCTCTCCATAGCCCGTTTTGTCCATTTTCTCTCTGTCTTGACTAATCCATGGTGCAGCAAGAACCACTCCACCGTAGCCTCCACCACCTACCCCTGAAAAGCATAGCATGAGCCGACGACTTTAGGAACAACCTCAAGGACGCGCGCATCTCCGTTCCCTCAACATTGATGTCGAAGCCGCCAGATCAAAAGATATCGTCCCGCCGCCGCCGCCATCACTCCGATTCTCGATTTAGTTGTAGAATACGACATCAAAAACTCAAAAGTCCCTCCCTACCTCCACCCCTCAACTCCACCATTGGATATAGTGACTTTGCAGCCACCGTCTCTGCCCCGTCGTCGTCGTCGTTCTTATTTTTTTTTGATTTTTTTGTGATGCTTTTGATGTTAGGTATCTTTTAAAGCAATATAGTTGCTTTTGTTATTCTGCTATTTTTTATAGTTGTTTTCATTATCCTACTATTTTTTTAGTTGTTTTCGATAGTTTTTAGTTGTTTTCGATATTTTTGGTTGATTTTCAATTTTTTGGTAGTTGATTTTGATTTTTTATTTTATTTTTCTAATTATATGACCTGCTGAAAAAAAAAAGAAAAAAAATATGAATAAAAAAAATATATATAGTTGATGTATTTTTAGTTGTTTTCGACATTTTTAGTTGATTTTGATTTTTTATAGTTATTTCAATAATATGTAGTAATTTGTCAATTTGGTAAATTAGCTGGAAAAAAAAATCGTTTTGGATTCAAAATAAATGATATGAAAAAAACAAAATTTTTTAGTTGATTTTCAGAAAAATTGTAGTTGATTTCGAAAATATTATAGTTGATTTTGGAGGAACATAACTAAAAAAATGCTGAAAAGAATATTACTTTTTAGTTATTAACAAAATATTTATAAAAATTATTTTAAAAAACTATTTTTTAAATAAACAAAACAAAAAAAATGGAAATTAGAAAAGAAATAAAATAGGCACGTGCAACAAATAATATGGGAGGGTAAATTTGAGAATAAATAAAAGTTGAGCTTATCACTAATAATGATAAAGAGACAAAATCCATCCTTATTAAAAAAATGTTAGAGGAGGTTCTCACTAATAACCTCAAAAATATTTGGTAGGATTTTTTTAAGAAAATAAAATTTTAGATAATTTGGTGATGTTTGGTTGAGGGATATTAAAAAATTTTAATGCAGACATTTTTGCACCATGAAGATAAACATACTGAAAGTACAAAAATACCCTAACAAGCAAGATGCACTCGAAATGAATTTTTAAAATTCAATCGAAGTAATGTTTTTCTGTTCTTCATAGTGTAAACTGTAAAGTGCAAGTTGAAATTTTATTTGGTCTCCATTATTTGACTATTTTATCATTGACCAATTGAGGAAAATAATAAATTTCATGTAACATTTTGCACCCTTCATTTATTTTATCATGACCAAAAAGCTACATTATAAAAGTGTAAATTAAATTAAGCCAACTAAAACCAGTCAAATTGGTAATGCCAACTAAAAACGTGTAGAAAACAAAAGCGTTCCTAATATTCCGCAACGGACGGTGTCTTTTATCATTTTAATATAATTAAATAAGATAAATAATTAAAAGCAAATAATTAATGTTTAGTGGTCATTCAATCAAGACTTTCTTGCTTTTCATGCAACCACAAATAATTTATAATTCCCTATTCAAAAACAGGGTTGGCAATCGGGCCATGTGAGCCGATCTTGGGTTGGCTCAAGCTCACATACCATCGAGCCTCGTTACTATAGGCTTAAGCTCACATGTTATCGGGCCTCATTATAGGCTCAAGCTCGGCTCATGTATTTTTTCGGGTTTCGGGTCTATATCGGGCCCCATTACTATATAATTGTAATGAGTAAATTTTTTTTTATAAAAATAAGTGATGAACAAGATTTACCTCCATTGAAGCCAATAAAAAAAAACCCTAAACGATCTTTGAAAGTTATTGGAAAAACTTGAAAATAAAACTGAAATAAGTAAAAAAAAATCAGTAACTCTTATTATTGGAAACATTTTATATTCTCAAATCTCGGTGACTACTTAATTCCTTTTATTTTGACTTTTTTCTTCGCAAAATCAAATAATCTTATACGGTCATAACTTGTATATTGAGTCATAGTATTAAAATAATAAATATATTATATATTATATTATTATCCTAATTGGTCGGGCCTTATTCGGGTTGAGCCATAGTAAGCTCATACTCGACTCATAAATAAATCGGATTTAGTAAAATGGCTCAAACTCGACCCGGCTCACTAAAAAGTAGGCCCGGCTCAAATATAATCGGGCCGAGCCATCGGGCTTCGGTTAGGCCCGGCTCAATTGCCGGTCCTATTCAAAAATAAAAAGAAAATTATAATAATTCTTAAATGAAAAAGAAGGGTAAATTACGGCCACACCATGAGGTAATGTCACATTATGAAGAAAAAAAAATCTTTTATGCTTCAATAATTACAACCACCTCATCAACTATGAATTTTCAAAATTAGTGAAATCTTCTAAATCATGTGGAATATTCTCCAGTTTGTAGCTGTTTTACCCAATTTGAGCTCCACATTTTGAAACAAAATGATCATAAGATGTATCTCTTGGCTTATACATGTTAGATTGTTGTGCATCAGAAACGAGTACAAGCTAGAGAACATTCTACATAATATAGAAAATTCTGTTGAATTTGACACCATAAAGGTGGACAAGTAAGAAGTTTCATAGTTGAGGAGGGTGGTTGTAATTACCCAAACATGAGGGACCTCAGAGAGGTAACCATAATTTACCAAAAAAAAAAAGAACAAGAACTAGAAAAATAATAGAAAATAAAAATCAATTTCCACTAAATAGATGATCTCCTTAGCTTAGGCTCCATACACGTGTTATTACCACACACACACATACATGATATACATAATACACACATACATACATAGTTACATACACATCCGTATATACTGATTTCTCTTTGATTAATATATAATAATTAAATATTGATTTACTATTTTTAGGTGTGAGTGTGATTTTTGGGGGGCGATTTCGAAATACTAGAAAGCCGAAAAAAAGGTTGTAATTTTCTTGTTTTTTTTTTCTTTTTCGTGTAATATCATTTCGCAGCTTGTCGTTTGACTTTTCTCTCGTCGTCGTTTTTTGGTTGTTCTTGGTAAATTTCTTCCCCCCTTTTGAATCTATACGATTCTCTGTTCTTGATTGGCCGATTTGAATGATTGATCTGATTATTCGATTCGTGATTAATTGTTTTAAATCAATGATTTTGCCTCTTTTTTTTTAGGTTTTGATTTTGCTTTTAATTTTTGTTTTGATTGGATTGATTGATTCAAGGGCTTCATTTAATGGAACTAGTGTTTATTGCTGTATGTATATCTATATATAGATATAGATGTAGATGTATATATACACCTGGTGATTATTGTAATCTTTTGGATAGAGAATGTAGAACAAGATTGTGTGATTTAATTTACATATATTTGATATTAATGATTTCGATTTTTCGATTTACGGTGTTTATGGCGTGGATTTTATGAGAATCTGATGTTGGTTTTTTATTGAATTAACAAGATCTGAATTTGCTCTGAAATGTATTAGATATTAAATAAATAAATAAAAAAAATTATATCTTCTTACACTTGCACATGTGTTTTCGATTACGATTTTTGGAATCGGGTTTTAGGATTTTGACATGGCGGTACAATGTCGGGTTTCTGTGGAAATATCTGTTCTTATAGGTAAATGGTGTGGTGTGTTTTCAAGTGATGAAGGATAAATTAGTTACGTAAATTTCTAAAATAAGTTAGCTTTTCGGATTTAGGGAAATAAGAATTAATCGTAAAATTTGCTTATGAGTTAAATGTCAAATAGATTGTTGAGATTTTAATTTTAATAAATCCTTTCGTTTATTTAATTGGCAGGTAATCTACCAGTATGATACTCGGCAACTGAGGCTTAATTACTCGACCAGCTGTCTTCATTTGCCGCATGTATCTTGGGAGGTACGTATACGAACTTTCAAATTTACGTACGTTTCAGTAAATTGTGTATAAAAACTTATTTCTTCTTCACATTTTTTCGGTTCCACAGGATTTCAAGAACTAAACCGAATTTACGATTTTTAGCATATAATAATGGAGGGTGACAAAACTTGTGCTCAAGAATCCTCTTCTCACCCAATAATGGAAACTCGTTCGATAAACGAAGACACTAATGGAAAATTAAATATTTCCGAATCTGCACAAATAGAAACTCCGATTGTCATAACTTCCGAAGAAGATTCGGAACATAAACTTAGCTCCGTTTCCCAAGAAACAACCACTCTCCCGATAACGGAGGCTAAGGAAGAACCACCGCTCGAAAGCCACAAAGATAATAATAATGTAGAAATTATTTCTCAAGAAACCACTCTCCCGATAACGGAGGCTACGAAAGAACCACTGCTCGAAAGCCGCAAAGATGATAATAACGTAGAAATTCTTTCCCAAGAAACCACTCTCCCGATAACGGAGGCTACGGAAGAACCACCGCTCGAAAGCCACAAAAATGATAATAATGAAGAAATTATTTCCCGAGAAACCACTCTCCCGATAACGGAGGCTACGGAAGAATCACCGCTCGAAAGCCCCAAAGAAGATGATACTAATGTAGAAATTCTTGCGGACCCCGTTTTTTCGTTGGAACAAAAAACGGATGATGCCACTTCAGCATCGATTGATGAAGCTTCTGATGGGCCCAAAATCGAGCAGGAAAAAGATTTAGAAACGCCTCCGAAAATAATTGCTCGGCTATCGCCGGAGGATGATTATAATATACCTCCTGTCTCGTCACCTCAGGCGAAATATGGTAGCATTGGTCATAATATTACCGCCAAAATTGCGATAAATTCGAATAAGAGTCAAAAACCGACCGATCAAGCTAAGATGACTAACAATGGTGGGTTGACCAGAGGTCAAATCGACACGGCGGCGCCTTTTGAATCTGTGAAGGCTGCTGTTTCTAAGTTTGGGGGCATTGTTGACTGGAAGGCACATCGTGTGCAGACTGTGGAGGTATATTCTTCTGAGTCTCGTGTGTTTCTTTGTCAATATTTTTCATACATGTATGTATATATACACAAACACACGCACACATATATTTTTACCTGTGTGAAAGAGATGAAATTTGGTTCAAGATTGATAAATAATTTCATAATTTAATTCTTGGTTAGTTAATACAACCGCTAATATTTCTTGAAATATATATTCTTGATTCGCTGTATTTATAAGATAACACTTATACAAGAATTCTTTAATATATGGCAAATTTATGAGTAATTTATAAACCTTCATAAAAAACAACCGACTTGGCTTTTTTTCTTTGTCGGAATTGATGAAATCTTGAATCTCGTTTCTGATTTTTTATAACATAGTAAGAATTTTTGCTCTGGTTTTACGTAGATTATCACCGCTTTAGAAAGTTCCATTTCAAGAAGGGGGCATTATGGTAAATAGATAAATCATCTTCAACTTCATTATCCTAATATCCTTGTCAAATTCCCACGACGCCCTCAATTATTTGCTCGTTATTAAAGACATGCACAAATTCGTTATTTTCCTTCACAATAGTCTAAATATTTTTTCGCATTGATAAGCTTATGTATTCGTATCTCTCTTAATGCAGAGACGAAAGATCATAGAACAAGAACTGGAGAAAGCACACGAAGAAATACCCTTATACAAGAAACAATCCGAAGCAGCCGAACAATCGAAACTCCAAGTCCTAAAAGAACTAGACAGCACCAAACGCCTCATCGAAGAACTCAAACTCAACCTCGAACGAGCCCAAACCGAAGAGCAACAAGCCAAACAAGATTCCGAACTGGCAATGCTAAGAGTGGAAGAGATGGAGCAAGGCATCGCCGACGAATCCAGCTTTGCCGCCAAGGCACAGCTCGAGGTCGCCCAAGCCCGCCATGCTGCCGCCGTTTCCGAGCTCAAATCCGTCAGAGACGAACTTGAGCAGCTCAAGAAAGACCACTCTCTTTTGGTAGCTGAAAAAGAAGCTTCAGTCAAAAGGGCCGAAGAAGCTGTTTCGAGATCGAGGGAAATCGAGAAATCCGTTGAGGATCTTACAATCGAGGTTATTACAGCGAAGGAATCATTGGAATCCGCGCACGCTGCACATTTGGAAGCGGAGGAGCACAGAATCGGAGCGGTTATGGCGAGGGAGCAAGATATACTCACCTTGGAGAAGGAGCTAAAGCAAGCCGAGGAAGAGCTTGAAAAGGTGACTCAGCAGGTTTCGTCGAGTAAGGAATTGAAATCGAAATTGGATAAGGCGACCGAATTGTTGCGCGATTTGAAAGCTGAGCTGGCAGATTACATGGAATCCAAATTGGATCAAGAAGAAAAAACCGTCGGAAAAGAAGAACTTAAAGAGGTGAAGGCAAATATTGAGAAGGCGAAAAACGAGATTACGATCTTGAGAGTTGCTTCAGCTTCGTTGAAGATGGAGCTCGAAAGGGCGAAATCGGAACTTGTTGCGATTCAGCAGAGGGAAGGGATGGCTTCGATCGCGGTTTCGTCTCTCGAATCAGAAATTAACAGGACGAATACCGAAATCGCCCTTGTGAAGGCGCAGGAGAAGGAAGAGAGAGAAATTATGGTGGAGCTTCCGAAAAAGCTAACCGAGGCTGCTCAAGAAGCCGATCGAGTGAAATCGCTAGCGCAAATAGCTAAAGACGAGCTTAAAAAAGCTAAGGAAGAAGCCGAGCAAGCGAAAGCTGGGAAAAGTACGGTCGAGAGCAGATTAATTGCGGCTCGAAAGGAAATCGAAGCTGCTAAAGCTTCCGAAAAATTGGCACTCGCAGCTATAAATGCTTTGGCGGAGAGCGAATCTGCTCAAATTAACAACGACGATGATTCACAAAATGGAGTAACCCTTTCTTTGGAAGAATATTACGAGCTGAGCAAGCGGGCCCACGAGGCGGAAGAGGCGGCGAACGCTCGTATAGCGGCGGCACTGGCTGAAATCGAGGTCGCTAAGGAATCTGAATTGAGGAGCTTGAGTAGGCTTGAGGAAGCTAATTGCGACTTGTCTGAAAAAAGGGCTGCTTTGGAAACTGCGCTGCGAAAATCGGAGAAAGCACAAGAAGGGAAATTGGGAGTCGAGCAAGAACTGAGAAATTGGAGATCGGAGCATGAGCAGAGGCGAAAGGCTTTGGAATCGAATAATATAAGTCCGAAAGTAAGTTTCGAGGAGAGCACAGAAACCAAGAGCTTTTCGAATACGCCTCAGATTTGGAGTCCGAATTCTTACACGAGCAATACGGAAACCGAGGCATCGCCAGGTGTCAAAGTTGTTACAAAGAAGAAGAAGAGATCTTTCTTCCCTAAAATATTGATGTTTTTGGGGAAGAAGAAGGCGCACGCATCGTCTAAGTCTTCGTAACTATCGAAAACGAGTTCTTGTTTGTGTTTTTTTATATTTTTTTTTTGGTTTTACTTGTGGCGTGAAAATTTCGACTGCCTTTGAAAAAAAATTGGTCTCTCCTCGGGTTTTCGCCTGAATATTGTATGTATGTTGGTCCTATTCTTGACAAACAGATATACTTGTATAGGAGTGTGTGTGTAATTGTTTTTTGTGTGTAATAGTTTGATCAGATCAAATGAAAAATGTTCTCATCAGAACTCTGAATGTAAAGTATGTAATTTGTAATGTGATCTCTAGTTCACAGGTTTGCATTTGTGGATTTACAGGGATGTGTTTTATGTACAGTATACCCGATTTTTGTAATTCGATTTGTATTCGAATCCTTGTTTTCTAGATTTTCGTTTTCATCGGTTCGTTTTCGATCTTGACCTGTAGGTAAAAATCCGGTTTGAGCTGGTAATAAAATTTACGATAAATTACACTTACTCCCCTGAGATATGCTAAAATAACTTTAAGGTCCCTGTAGTATCGGCAATTACAATCACCCCATAAACATTGTTAGAAACCCTAACAGAATAATGCATTGACTAAGTTATCCTGTTAGGGTCCTAACGTACTATTAGTTTCAGGCAGTCGTGGAGACATAGATCTCCTAACATTTCTTAAATCCTTATTATTTTATATAAAATTTATAAATTTCCGTCTATTGGTAACACTAACTGCCCCGCGGGAAACAAATGCATGTAGTGCATATCGGTCCCCAGGACATTAAATTTTGGCTCCGGTTATTGTTTCTCGGGTGTGGTTGTAATTATCGATACCACAGGGACCTTAAAACTATCTTTGCATACCTCAGGGGTGAAGGTGTAATTTACCCTAAAATTTAAATTTCATTGAAACAAATAGGGCAAAATACGGTTACCCCCTAAGGTATGGCCAAAATATTAAGAAAAAAAAAAAAACTTCTTGTTTGGGTAATTACAACCACCACCTCCTTTTAAATATTTTTACATAAAATATTATGTAATTCAGTTATTTATTGAAGCAAATCGTATATTCAGTTCGGTAAACGGTATGAAATGTTGGCGTACCGAAATTTCGGTTCGGTTTTACCGATTTAACATCCCTAAATTTACCTGTGGATGATTTTATTCATAAGATAATACATAGTTGAGGGGTGCCTATAATTACCAAGCAGAAGATGGGTTTTCGTAATTTGACCATAACCCAAAGGATGGCCGTAATTTGCCCAAAACAAATAAAAAGAAGTTACATTTCACAAGTATTTACTGAATGAATGAATGATTAAGAACTGGATTGAACCATTGTTTGAATGATTGTTGTATGCCATGGATTAGAGAGATGCTTTATCAGATTCTCAATTGGGCCCACATGTGTCACATTAGCTTGGACAAAGAAACCAACCATAGCCATCATTGCTAATCTTCCTGCACAAAAAAATAATAACTAGAAATTAGAAATTAAAATAAAAAAGAATAATTATAAAAAATAAAAAATAAATAAAAGAACCATTTTTAATCTCTTTCAGCTTCAATTCATGAGCATTCTTTATATCTTTAGCTAGTCCAAGAGGATTCAGCAAAGGTCCACCAGGGTACCTGCAAAAAAATACCATATGCAACTTCAAATTTATTTATTTATTTTCTTTATTTTTAGATTGCCCCCTTTTTTAGGAAAAAATGGTTAAAAGCCCCTCATAAATATTTTGTATAGCTAAGAGTCCGCTCGGACATTTTGAATTTGCTGAAGGCCATCGGGACAACTGAGCTGAAGAGTTTACACTGAAAATAGACAGCTTAGTTGTGGAACTTGGACTGAAAATAGACATCTTAAATGAAAATAACATTTTCCAATGATGTTGTGGCGGAATTTAGGCGGTCAGCGGCCTGAGACTGGTAGAGAGAGGCGGAAGAGTGGAAGAAATGTTACTTTTAGAGTGGATGCAGTTTTTAGGACGAATGAGTTGGAGGATAATAACGTATTTTCAGTCTAAAATGACTATTTTGAGTCTAAATTCTCTAACTAAATTGTTCCGAACTTTCAGCAAAATGCGAAAATATGGCTGCCCTAATTTAAAAGGGTATTAGTGACCAGGGGTGTTTAGCAAATTGCCCCCTTAATTTAATTATTAAAAATCAAATTAAAATTATGAGGAAAGAAAGTGGTGAAAATTACCCAGGTTCAAGCCCTTCAAGTGAAGCTTCTAAACCAAAGAAGAAGGATCCATTCTTGGCTTGAGATCCTGGATTCTTGAAATCCATGTATCTTTTTGTTTCTACAAAACTGCATTGCAATTATAAATAAATTAATTCATTAAATAAATAAATAATTGGATAGAAAATATTAGAGCAATATAAATAATTAGTAGTACCCCATCAAGAGTAGTTGAACAATGAATAGAGTAGTGGTGTTAGCGAAATCGAATTTGGTGGCGCCGGCTTCGTACCACACCGGCAAATCGCTTATTCCAGTCACACGTAATAGCTGACGATCGATCAATAAATACACATAGCCTTAAACAATGTCGGGTTTTTTTCGAGAAAATTTTGCTAATTTTTTTTTTTAAAAAAAAATAGACCACATAGGATTATATTCCAATGTTTGAAATAAAATCAACTTACATCGGTGAAAAGAATACCGGCAACTCCGGCCATTGCGAAACGAGCATGAACTAGCTCCGCTTGTACGTACCACTTCAAACTTTCCGGATCCTCACCAAGTCCAAGTGGATCGAATCCGAAATCTCCAGCAAGTCTACAACAAAAATAATCATAATACTATGATAATATAAATTATGTAATATAATTGAACACAAAAAAAAAAAAAAAAAAAAAAAAACGGGACTTACGTTCCATTGAGATAAGACGGGGGGTCGAGGCCAGGAAGCCACGTGGGCCGATCCTGAGCTCGAACCGTCACGCGAGAAGCCTTTTTCGATAGCCAATTATTGTTGTTCAGTGATTTGCCAAATGTTGTTGTTTTGTTAATGTTGTTTTGAGGGAAGAGAGAGGAGTTAGAATGAGCAACAATTTGGAAGCTGCTTCTTGCCACTGCAATTTCCATTTTTTTTTTTATTGAAATTAATTATTAATTTGTTTTTTCTTGTAAAAGAATTGTTGATGAATACCTTTGGGGGAAGAAGAGGATTCAAAACCAAGGTTTTCAGTTAGATTCATCATTCATGATAGCATGGGCCCCACTTATCCCTTTCCTTCACAGCCTTCCATTTCTAGTTTCATGTCAACTGTTTTTGTGCTATATTGAAATTTTTTTAGTTAAATATATGGAAAAATTGCACTTCACCCCCTATAAATTTTAAAAATTCGCACATTTCCCCCTAGAAATTAAAAAAGGAAACATTCCCTGCAACATATATTTTTGTTGCACTTTGGCCCAAAGTCAAACTTTCGGTGCATTTTTTAACCGAAATTGACAAAGGGGATCGCCGTTATTTCAGGGTATATATGTAATTTTGTCATACCCAACCCAAACTCCCATTCATATAACCTACGAATTACACATTAGGATTGAAAAATTAGGGTTCTTCTCTATTAAAACTTATAAATTGTTCGAATTGAAACCACACATTACACGTGTCCTATTTTGTGTTCCTTTTCTCATGATTTTTGAGCCCTTGTGATGGAAACACGGGATAGCTTCTAATCGAAGAAACAATGAAAGATTCTTATAATTTTCGGACTAAAATCCCTAATTTTGTGTTCTGAAATTGGTTGGTGAAATGAGATTGGAGTGTTTGAGGTTATTGTGCAAAAGAGAATAATATTAGGGTTTGTATTTGGTGGGAAGGATGAAATGACGGCAATCCCCTTTGAGTGGACGGAGTTTTGTCAATTCCTGCAAAAAATACGCCGAAAGTTTGACTTTAGGGCAAAGTGCAACATAAACATATTTTACAAGGAGGCGTTTCTTTTTTGAATTTTTAGGGGAGAAAGTGCGATTTTTTTAAATTTTTGGGGGCGAAGTGTAATTTGCCCTAAAATATATTAAAATATTGGGTAAATTACTGACACCCCTGAGATAAGGTCAAATTACGAAAACCCCCTCATATTTGGATAATTAATTACAACCACCCCTCGACTATGAATCTTCTTACACGTCCACCCTTATGGTGTCAAATTCAACATAATCTTGTAGATTCCGTGGAATGTTCTATAGTTTGTACTTATTTTGTGCAAAATGCAGCTTCTGATGCACCACAGTTTGATATTTACAAGTCATAAGATACATCTTGTTTCAAAATGTGGAGCTCGAATGAGGTAGAACGGATACAAACTGTAGAATATTTCACATAATCTAGAAGATTCCACTAAATTTAATATTGCAAAGCTAGACGTGTAAAAAGATTCAGGTAGCTGTAATTATTCAAACATTAGGGGCTTTTTCATAATTTAATCTTACCTCATGATTGGCCGTAATTTACCCTAAAATGAATATAGTGAGACAAAACTGTGTAGGATGAACTAAGAAGGTAATTGTTTTTTCTTTAAAAAAAATTAAAAATTACATCTATCCAAGAACAAAAGTCATCACACTACAATTATCTTAATATCCATCCCAAGTACTACAACAATTAAGGTTGTCAGGTGCAACCTAATTTAAGTCTTTAAAAAGACTACCAACAATATAACTAACTGCAGATACAAAGTCAATCCTCTAAAATTGACCTCCCAACAAAAAGAATTCTCAAACAATACAAACACACACACACACTCAAAACATTACAAGCCAAATAAAAACCTAAGATGTTACTACACATAGTAAAATCCGACTCTCGCTCTCACATGCAGAGTCGACTGCTCGATATGCTGAAGGAGCTGACTTTCATGGGGGTGGCCACCACTAATGGAGCTTCAGGCGAATCGCTGACTGCAAATTTCTCGTGCATGAAACGACTGTCAACAATGGAGTCGTCTTTCAGAACTATCTTGTAGCAGTAGCAGCTTTTCAAGCCCAATTGATTCTGGTAACATTCGTGGGACCCGTCTTTCACCTGTTGGAAATTCCATATTACGCTGAACTTGCCCACAGTGGCAACAAGGTGCCGCTCCTGCCTTCCGTTTTCAGTGACCTACGCAGTAACGCAAAATAATTGCAAGAATTAGTGCCACCATCATAGTATTTGATAGAGAAAATACATGAAGTTTAGAAGATAGTGACTCCAAAATATATTAAATCAATGAAATCTCAGAGTTTACAAGGAAGATGTAACAAAACTCAACTGTACAAACAATTTACTTTCCCAAAAAACGCAACCGGTTCAAGAATCAACGTCGGATTTTATCAAGAAAGTTGACACAGTCTATGTTTCATTAGTTTTTGCTAATTGACTGATGTGCAGCAAAGGCGGACCCTTCTGTCTCTCATATCTAAAACAGTTGACGGATATTGAGAGAATGTGTTGTTTTGCAAATCAATAAAATGGCTTTAAAACTTCTACCGAAAAAAAGATCCACTTCGGAAAAGAAGAAGAAAAAAAATCCACACAAACTCAATCTCTATTCCTACAAAATTGATCTCATCCAGAACCAAAAGTACTGCAAAGAATACTATAACACACAAAACCCATCCAAGGCTAAGCATAATAGCATACACTAATCATGTGATTATAGAGAATTCCAGATAAAGATAAATGCAAGGATCAACTCAGAGAAAAACACCTACTAGAATCTACTAATAAAATCACAATCTTCATGAATGAGAACAACAAACAAGATTAACATTATACGTAAAGATCAAACCAACTATCCAAGAAACATAAAAGATACAAAAACGACAACATACCCACGAAAACTGAGCATTACGGAACTTGCTTGTTCCAGCCGTATGAGAATCCACCGGATTCAGCTTCAACAATCTCGGAGCAGAGATCCTATGCCCCATACGACCAGAAAACCCAGTCTTAGTCTTCCCATCTTTATCCGTGAACAAACTGCATATGAGAATCAAGTAACTATCGGTAGTTCCCAAAATCCATTTCCCATCATATGTAACATCAACATGAGTGATAGGCGAACCAAGTCCAGGAAATGCAGTCTTCGCCTGCCTCATAGAACTAACCGAATACAACCTAATTTTCCCGTCGAGCGACCCGACCACAATCGAACCATCACCAGCGGTAGCAAAGCACTGAAAATTAGTCCCCCTCGAGAACTGATGCCCTTGAGTCCAATTCAAGACAGGCGTACTTTCATTCACGATATTCTGCACTATTCCTTTGCGGTCCCGCATATCCCACCTGCACAGCCTGTTATCATCCAAACCCAAGAAAGTCGATCCAGATGGATCCATTTGAGCCCCTTTACTATCGTTCGTGATATCTCTCATATTAATATCCGCTCCATCTTTCTCGAATTTCCACTCGGTAACAACTCGCCCCGTTTCGATATCGAGCTGATGCAAACCTCTGGCATGTGGTTTGCCGTCGTTCATTGGACTCATCAGAAGCATGTTCGTCTCGGCCCTCATAAGCAAAGCTTTTCTTGGGGTCAAATGAGTGGAATTAGCACCTTTTCTCGCACTCGATTTGCCATCGTCGAAGTTAACGTATATCCCTTTCCCTTGAATACCATGACTATAGTTCCTAACGACCTGAATACCCGAATCACTAACCAAAAAGCTGTTGTCCAAAGCACCCAATGCTAAACTCTGAATCGCACTACCGTTCATTGCATCTTCTCCCAGCTCCTCTGTCAAATCGTGACTTCTTTTTAGGGGCGTTTTCGCGGGAGGAGTTTTGAACAGAGTCTCCTCTGCATCCTCCCACATGGAATCATCGGCTGCTTCAGGGTTAGCCCATCCGAGAAAATCCTTTCCGTAAACCTTCAGCTTATTCTCGTCGTTCGCTTCGTAGCCGTAAGTGTTGTGGAAAAGGCAGTCCTGATATATTTTAGTAAAACGATCCCATTCTTCCTGGCTGAAGAACTTAATCGCCCAAACCCCATTGGCTACGAAATCCACGCGCTTCTGCTCCTTACACGCCTTCAGCTGCAAATTCTCGTCGACCTTCGCCCGCACTTTCGACCCGATTTTCAGAACCCACCACGAATTCGGGTCGGGTCCTTCCTCCTCGTCGGAATCGTCTTCCTCCCCACCATCGGAAGCCGTCTTGACGAACGAGTAAGAAACGACCTTTTCGACCACCACCCATTTGGATTTCTCGGTGCGGCCGCCCACGTGGAGGTAGAGCTTCACCGCATTCTTCAGATTAGGGTTCGGTGTGTCTTTGTTGTACTTCAGTTTGAGCGCCCTGAGCCTAGATTCGACTTCGTCGAGCGACGACGGCGTATTGGGGTCGGTGATTTTCTTGCCGGAGCCGCCGCCGCCAGAAGGATGCGACGATGGGGTGCCGTACGTATCCTCCGATTCGGATTCCTGATTGGTGGTTTCATGGGATTCGGAGTCGGATTCGGAGTCGGAGAGATCCAGATCTTCTTGGCTGTGGTTGGCGCCCATTACGACGGCGTTTTGGGGAGTGTGCCGGAGAGTGAAACCGCCGGGGAAATGGGAGAATCGGAGAGAGAGGAGCGGGAGTTGGAAGGTTTTGAAATTTGAAATGATTTGGGAATTTAGGGTTTTTTCTGAGTGCTACGGATTTGAATAAGAAAATGCTATTTGCGGTCACAAAATTGCTATTCGCGGTTTCTAACAAAACCCCCCAAAACTTTTAAAAATATCAAAAATCCCCCCAAAACTGCAAATAGCAAAAAAAAAGAAAAAAAAAATTCGAAAATTCGAAATCAAGCTTGAAGAAGGGTTGGGCTTCGATTTTTTGATGTAATTTCGACTCTTTTATGTGTAATATGCATTGGGTAAGTCGATTACGGGACCAATTTCATGTTAAAAAACCCTACAAATCGATTTGTAGGGCTTTTTTTTTTTCGCAAAAAAATGGTCGAACGCCCAAGATGGGCAGGCCCGAGCTCCTACGGCCCCGGGCTCCCCCGGGGCCGGGTCCGGGTTTCCGCCCGCCCCCGGGGTTGTTGCTTTTTTTTGTTGGGGGCCGCCTTGTCTTCCGGCCTTTCGGGCCCCGTTCCCCC